GCTTTCTTCAACATGATATCAATTTGATTTTTCTTCTGCATGCACATTATTCTCCTGATCAACATCAAATGAGAAATGTCAATGTCAACAACAATAATTTGAATAATTCCTTAAAAAAATTTTCGCCGCCACTGTCGTTGGAGGCGAGATGTAAACAACGATTGTCATTTGTCATCTAAATGAAAAGACCTATTGGAATCGAACATCAACATGTTTCAACCTTTTATTATTTTCTGGGTTATTTGCAACTTTGATAGCCGACTGGTTGTCTTCATAAATGATAATAGGTTCATTCAAAACAAATAGACAAAAATCTTTCAATATTTTTCTCAACCAACAGGCTTCGCTAACTGCCATGCTCAAAGCAACATATTCTGCTTCAGTTGAAGAGATTGAGACACATTGCTGCTTTTTACTTGCCCAGAGAATTGTACAATTAAATAATTTGAAACAATATCCAGTAGTTGATTTTCTATCAGAAATATCCCCACCCCAATCAGAATCTACAAATCCACAAAGAATGTTTGCATTATCTGGCTTAAATATCAATTTGAGATTTATAGACCCTTTCACATATCTGAGTACTCTTTTTAAGGCTGTTAGCAAATTATTGTTTGCCTTATCTTGAAATCGGCTTAGTAAACTAACACTCTCACATAGGTCTGGTCTAGAGCCTTGAACTGCATACATTAAACTTCCAATGATTTGCCTACAGAGCCTTTGTAACTCAGAGTTGTTTTCTTCATTTTTGAATATCAAATCATTATTTACATCAATTGGGGTATTCACAGGTTTACAATCATGCATGCCGAATTTTTGTAAAACTCTCTTCAAATAATTCTCTTGATCTAATTCAGTGTATCCTTCATGAAGACATTGTTTAACATTAATGCCTAAATATTCAGAGATGATACCTAAATCTTTCATGCTAAAATGTTTATTTAACATAATTTTAACGTTTTTAACTTCATGCATGTTTGTACCTAGAATCAACAAATCATCTACATAGATTAGAATATACAATTTGTTATTTTGTGTAAATTTCAAGTATAAACAATAATCATTTTCTGATCTAATGAAGCCCTGATCTTTCATTAAACAGTCAAATTTATTATTCCAACATCTAGGACTCTTCTTTAGACCATAAATTGATTTATTCAGTTTACAAACCGTTTTAGAATTTTCTTTATGGTTACCTGGTAATGACATATATATCTCCTCATCAACCACACCATAAAGAAATGCACTACATACATCCATTTGGTGAATAGGTTCACCTAGTGTATTTGCAACTACAAGTAGGATCCTGAAAGTAGTTAGCTTTGCAACAGGGGCATAAATGTCATACAAGTCATCACTACTTTCCTGTTGAAAACCACGAGCTACTAGCCTTGCTTTGAACTCGTTTTCCCCTTTCACTTTAAATACCCACTTACTTTCTATCACATTTTTATCAACAGGCCATGGCACTTCACTCCATGTATCATTCTCTTGAAGCACAAGCAGCTCCTTTTCCATTGCTTCCTTCCATCTTGCATGATTTTCACTTGATACTGCTTCTTCCAGGCTCATAGGCTCTTCTTCTGTAGAATAAAAACACATATCAGCACTGCTCAGATCATAATCCTTAGTCCATGCTGGCCTCCTGACTTCACGTTTTCCTGGTCTGGTAATAACTACTTCTTCTTCAGATATTATGCTTTCTTCTTGTGATTCATTAGAATCATTACTATCATTAGCACTGTCGAAGTGCTCACTTTCATTTTCTTGATCATGAATCTCATCTTGAGTCTCATTGTTATCATGTTCAAGAATCACTTCATTTTGAAAATCAGCTTCAAATTCATTATTTTCACAGTCTAATATAACAATTTCATCTGATTTAATGTTTTCTGTGTTATTTTTTCCTGATGTTTCATTCTTGGGAATGAAGACAACATCTCTATGAACTTCTACTTTATTTTTGTCTGGAAAGTAAACTCGGTAACCTTTGATTTCCTCAGAATATCCCACAAGGACTCCCATTGCATTTTTCGCATCTAATTTGACTCGTTTTTGTTTGGGAATATGAACACTGACTTTAGAACCAAATGCTTTGAATATTTGCATGTTACAGTTCCTGTTGTACCATGCTTGAAATGGTGTTTGTTCCTTTTGTGGGCTATTTCCTGCACGGTTTAAACAAAAAACTGCAGTATTTGCTGCCTCAGCCCAAAAAGACTTATCTAGGCCTGAGCTATGCAGCAGTGTTCTCACTGATTCTACCACAGTCCTGTTTTCCCTTTCCGCTCTCCCATTTTGCTCAGGAGTATATATACATGTTTTTTGATGAATTATTCCCTTATATTCACATATTTTTGACAATTTGTCATTAACGAATTCTAGACCATTGTCTGTTCTTAAAGTTTTAATCTTGTTTCCAGTGATATTTTCTACCATTGGTATAAAACTTTGAATCTTTCTTTCTACTTCTGATTTATTTTTCAAAAAATATATGTGCCTATATCCAGAAAAGTCATCTTTTAATAATAAAAAATACTTTGCCCCACCTAGAGATTCAGTTTCAATAGGGCCACATAAGTCTCCATGTATTAATTCACATGTTTTCTTTGCTCTGGATTCACTGACAGGAAATGGAAGTCTATGTTGCTTTCCAGCTAGACATTCTACACAAAAATTATCTTTTTCATCTTTGAAAGGTATATTATTTCTTTTAAGAAACCTCTTTACTTGTTCAAAGTTAATATGTGCCAGTTTTATATGCCAGTCCTGCAAGCTAGTGACTGCATTACACTGTGATAACTGCATATCAGAATTTTGAGCAGTTCTTTCTACTTTGAATTGCATTTTATATAAATTACCTAATCTTTCTGCTATTGCTCTTATGTTGCCATTTTTATCTAGCAATTCACATTTTTGTTTGTTTGAGCGCATTTCATAGTTTTTGTCCAATGCAGTACTCAAAGAGAACAAATTTACTGCTAGATCTGGTATGAATAATACATTATGTAAGTCTGTACTCACCCAATTGCTTCCATTCCATGCCATTACTTGCACAGTACCTAGGCCATGTACTTCTACTAATGTGCCATTTCCTACTCTTACCTGCCTTTTCTCAGGCATATTTTTCATTGTTATAAATTGCTCCCTGTCAAAACACATATGTTCGGTGGCTCCACTGTCCATCCACCAATGGTTGGCATTCAAGTTGTCTTTGCCAAGTGTTGCCTTGACATCAGAGCAATTTAGTAAGATTGACTCACTAAGAAATGCTTGATCACCTGGCCTCTTATTACCTTCCTTTTCTTCTTCTGCTCTTTTCTTCCTAAACCAACAATCTTGCATCCAATGTCCTGGTTTTTTACAGAAATTACATATTTTCTTGATTCTCTGGTGATCCTTCCTTGAATGTCCTGGTTTGTTGTACCTAGCAAACTTTCCTCCAGTTGCTAGTGCTGTTGAATTTCCAGCATTCTTGCTTCTTTCTTCTTCAATCAACAACCTTGACATAAGTTCAGTCAATGTTTGTTTGTCTGATGGACTTGATTCCCATGCAGAGATAAAGTACTTCATACTTTCTGGTAGTGACATTAGAACCTTTGTGACTACCATTTTGTCACTAATTTCTTCTCCCAAGGCCTTCAGTGAGCCTTTTATTTCTTCTAGCTGAGACATGAATTCTGCTGCGTTTCCTTCTGTGTATTCTAGAGAGAAAAATCTCTGAGTCAGCAGATGTACACTTACTTGAGATGTATGCTCATAAATGGCTTTGAGCTTTGCCCACATTTCAGCTGCGGATTTGCATGACAGAATATGTGTCAAGACTTTTTCATCCAGTCTGGACACAATAATTTCCTGTGCTTTTGCATCCATAAGATCCCAATCATCGAAATTTGAAGATGGTCTTCGAGTGGTCCCGTTAACTACATCAAAATACCGTTTTGATTTGAGGGTTATTTCTACCTGGAACTTCCATGTTGTCCAGTTGTTTCCATTGAGTTTCACAATTGCAATAGAACCTGTTTGCTCTCCCATTGTTAATTTCGATCGTCGTATTGTGGCCCCAAACTGGGTTTTTCACACAGACTCGTTGGAGTACTGTTATTTTCTACCGGCGTCGATTATATTTATTACCACTTTATAGGCGCATCTGGGCCCATAACCTGATGAAAGGCCGTTTTTATCAGTGGTAATAATGGAAGATATTCAGTTTTAACTATTTATTGAGCAAAATTACACTTATTAAATATCATTGCAAAAGCGCGCCACATGCCATCATTTTAGGTTATCTTAACTTAGGTTATCTTAAGTGATATCTTTGGTTATGTAGACAACTGTCATAAAACATAAAGTTGCCAACATATGAACTACAACACAGTTGTGGCTAGCAGACCAACAGCAGGTTCAATATATTTTAGTTAAAATGGTTTTATTGTTTTATTTCTAACACAAAACCAGTGCACCACTAGGTTTACGAATGGAATTCGCTATAAGCTATCGCTGGTACTCGTAGTAGACATAGAACACTATCCTTATTCTTCTTCTATTTCTTTTTACTATGTGCACCAGCCAGCACCGAAAAGCGCTACTACCTAGTCAATTATAAGTGATCTTGAGGACGAAGCGCCGAAATATAATGACCAATCCACCATGTGACCACCAATGGTTGTTTATATTGAGTTCATTGGGGACCACTTGGTTGGTGACATCACTTGACCTCGATGTTTGAAAGATTCGCTGGTCTAGCTTTTTGTTTCCAGCTCCACTACACCAGTTCGGTAAATTAAAAAACATGTCTGTTCCACTGCACTGCTCACCGCTGCTCACCAAGGTCTTGACTGCTAACTTCACTGCACTAGTGAGTGACAGTAGTGACTGCACTCAAAAGTCAAATAATAAATAATGTATGGTTAGGTGTTTGATTCATTATCAAACAAAAACACTAGAAACGTATTACATCTATCAAATTATCTGCTCAATCTTTCTGTTGATTATTCAGAATGGGTGAAAGAAAAGGCGTTAACAAATACTACCCCCCCGATTATGACCCTAGAGTCGGGGGCCTCAATAAATTCCTGGGCACCCATGCCCTGAGAGAAAGGGCCAGGAAAATCGACAAGGGCATCATCATAATTCGTTTTGAGATGCCTTACAATATTTGGTGTGAGGGGTGCAAAAATCATATAGGAATGGGTGTACGCTACAATGCAGAAAAAACCAAAGTTGGGATGTATTATACAACCCCTGTGTATGAATTCAAGATGAAGTGTCATCTTTGTGATAATCATTTTGTAATTCGAGCTGATCCAGCCGTAAGTAGATTATTTTGTTCTCTTGCTAGGAAAATAACTTTAATTCCTGCAGAATTTAGATTATGTGATACAAACTGGGGCAAGAAGACAAGAAAATCGATGGGATCCAACTGATAATGGCCAAGTGGTGCCAGAAACCAAAGAAACTCAGAAGAGACTTTTTGATGATTCCATGTTCAAACTAGAACATGGAAGTCAGGATAAAAGTATTGGAGAGAATGCTAAACCAAGACTAGCTCAGTTATACAACAGAAATGATGATGTCTGGTCAGACTCTTTCACTGCTAATCAAAAGCTGAGAGCTGAATTCAGGGTTTGTATCATATTGAAATATTACATCACTGATGAATTTTATCAACACCATTGTTGTTTTATTTTTACAGAAAACGAATTATGAACTCAATCAGAAAGCAGCTAAAGATAAGGTTCTGCTCAAAAAATCTAGTTTGGACATTCCTCTGTTGTCTGAGAGAGAAGAAGACCGCAAAGTAGCCTCATTGCTCAGCATGAAATTGAGACCATCAAAGACTATATCAGAAAATACAGAGTCCATAAGAAAAGAGATAATATCACAATCTTCTTTACCTGCCTGTAATTTTTCTAAATTCAAGGAGGAGAAAGCTATGAAACTATTGAGTTTGAGTAAAACACATTTGGGAATTATTCCAAAGAGGAAGGGTTCTGATAGCATTCCCAGAGAAGAGTCAAAGAAACCTAAAATGAAAAGTTTGCAACTATGTGATTATAGTTCTAGCAGTTCAGACTGAACAATGCTACAAAAGTGAAAAAAATTAGGAATTATCACCTGCAGAGTAAGCAGGAAGATATGGATATACCTAAAATGGATATTTTACCTTTGATGATGAATTTATGAATTCTCAGTTGAAAACAAAAAAATTAACTTGAACATTATAGCTCAAATAAATACTTGATGACTAATGATGAGGATGATATCCATCAATGAGAATCTGGAAATAACAAGCAATCTGAATAAATACAGTGATGAACACCAATTTATTGATCAGACACTGTAAAGAGCCCTGGAAAGAGCCATTGGAATTTTCTCAACTTCAGAGCAGTATCAACTGTTTTGTTGAAATCAATGTTGAAATATTGTTAAATCAATGTCTGATTATTGTAGTTTGTTGAAATATATATTTTTTAAATATTTAATGTGACACAAGAATTCAATAGGGTACCAATGAGATAATCAAATTATGATACTATCAAGATTCATATAAAAAACCATCCAGGCATATTAATCAGTCTTGATGTTTTTTTTTATTTCAGTTTTATTTTCACATAATCAGATCCACAACAAAAAGAGATGATTTATGGCAGTACATTTTTTTTCATATGCCAAAATAAAAAGTTATATTACTTGAAAAAAAAAATTCTAAGACCTCATTATTTCATGCAAATATGGCTTTTTTTCCTCCTCTTATAATAGAGCTTAGACATCGTGTTCCGCTCACCTGCTCACATTGTAATTGAATTTTCACGTTTATTTCCTGGCCTATTTTCACCTTTAGTATACCCTTCGTTGTTTATTCTTCTATACAGTACTTGATTCTGTGACACCCAGTATAGCAACTTCTATACACACACAGAGATGGAAATTACTATAGGCACTGGATGGTATAAATCATGGACGTATAATACGTCCATGGTTTAAATGGTATTAATTAGATAAAACAATACCATCCAGTGACTCTAGAAATTACCAATCTACACAAGCGTCTAGCTATACCATTTCCATCATTGGCTCTCTGAATTATACATCCATACATTGGACCCACCATTTTGAATTTCCTAATTTTGACGAAGGAATCATAATTTCCGACCCCGAAAACCTCCAGATATCACTTTTGAATTGGATCTGATCATAATCAGAAGACTCGTCCGTTATATTGAATCCGCCATTTTGAATTTTGACGAAGTAATCATAATCTTCGACCTCGTAAACTTCCAGATGCCAATTTTGAGGAGAATCGTCTGATCATAATTACAAAACTCGTCCGCCATGTTGAATCCGGCGCCACCTTGAATTTCCAAATTTTGGCGAAAGAATCATAGTATCCGACTTCGAAAACCCCCAAAATATGAATTTTGAATAGAATCGAGCCATAATTAAAAAACTCCTCTGTCAGTCATATTGGACCCGCCATTTTGAATTTCCTGATTTTGACGAAGGAATCAATCTCCGACCTCGAAAACCCCCCGATTCCAATTTTTGAATGAAATCGGATTACAACACTTGTCCGCCATCTTGAATTTTCAATTTAAAAAATGGCTTACGACCGATTCTCATACCTCTATTGAATACCACCAGAATACGCACAACAATTTTCATACCAATCGCGCGGTCGAGCCGTTTCGGAGGAGTTTGGTGTCAAACACAGTGACAGGGGTCAGGAGAATTCAATATATTAGATTAATAAAAACACGATTTTTCATTGAATGTTTGATACCATGTATCTCCAAATGTTCAAAAAAAATTCCAACATCTACCCCCTCTCCCTATCCTCCCTAAGTACGCACCGAGGTACGCACAATATGTTCTTCGAACATTATAAGAATTTCCATTCGTGTGCTCGAAGAGATGGAAAAATTGAGGAACATTTTCATTCCATGTATCAATCACTTCATTATTCCGTCTTCGGAATTCAAGGAGTCACCAATGGAAATGGTATAGCTAGACGCTTTTCTATCGACGCCCTCCCCCTGCTCCGAAAACAGTGTTGAAGACGCTATTCGACGTCGCGACGCCCGAGCGATCAGTAATCGAATAATCGCTAGTCGAGGTGCCCCCGTGGCATTTTCTCTGTGGAATTTTCAGAATTTTTTCGGCAGGCCCCAGAAGGTGGATAAACGCACGGCGTTTTGCATACTCTCCGGTCGTAGCAGGCCAGCGATCTCAGGTGAGCTTCAGTTTTGTTTTCAGTTGTTCGGGACCGTTTTGTTTTGTTTCATGGATGTTGCCGTTTGGTGAGTGACGAGGTGAGTGATGAGTGGATTGGTGAATGGGGGTTTTCTTTCGGTGTTGATGAGGATGAGAGGAAAACTCAGGGGAAGGTTTGCCACGATTTTTTTGTATAATTTCTCGGGGACACGCCGATATATATAGTTAGTAGCAGCTAGCAGCTTTCGTCGGTTTTGTAATCAACATCATATAATTTCTGGTATAGCGAAGGATGATAATTACCTGTATCCATGTTGATGTTGCCTAATCATCGCCATAATCATCATTATAAATGAAAATCTTTGGGATTATTGGGCAAAATTAACATCACACAGTTCTCAAAATCATATCATATTATACAGATAGTAAACACTAAAATAATGTGTGATGAAAATGTTGCTGGTTCAGGATATACTTTACAAAGAGGGTTCTTTGGGGGAAATTTTATTCGACAATTTCTCATAACTTTGTAAGTTTTAAGAGCATTATTAACATAAAATTTTGTGGCCTGTTTAATTTTACATAGGTATATATATACGTACTCTTTTTCAAATTGTCTAGCTCTTAACTGTTTTTGCGTTATTATATCGCTCTTGAAGAGATTTATGTTCCACTTTATTATACAGGTTGATTCAAAATTTGATGTAAATAACATTGAGTACCTAACGTTAATTATTATGATATCAAGATAAACCGAGGGGTAATCACGACGGACTCCCTCAAACTTCCCCGAATTTCCTCAAACTTCCTCGAACTTCCCAAACTTCATCGAACTTCCTAAACTTCTGGAAACGTTTCAGACTTCACAAACCATAAGTATAAGCAATTCAATATTTATCGATTCAAAATATTTTCCTTTCCCTATATGGTAGGTATAAAAACTACCCTGAATATGTTTTGCAACGTTCGTAGTTGGATTGCAACATATATGAGTTTTGTTTCCAAATAGAATTTTCCTCAGTAGACTTCATCCACATCTCCACATTATTACGTGGGTTATAATCAATACCTGGAATGCCAAACACTCTGTGCTGCTCGGATCTAAAACTAAGTATCTATTTGAAATTTGAATCGTGAGACGGACATGGAATGAAGAGTCTGCATATTGTTTTCAACATTCGTAACTGGAATGCGATATATTTTAATAATTTAATAATGAATCAACTATCTCCATGAATACGAGACAGGCAGATGAGCAACAATTTTGTCTGCGATGGAAAACACTGTATATACCTAACCCATATCTAGCGTCTACCTCCTTTGCAGAGAGGGTTCATGAACGCAAAGTTGTTACTCTCCCCTCGTAAGGGTACCTGTCGTGTTTCCATAGAGATATAAAGGTGAATATCTGTCTATTTGTTTGCTTGAGAATCTGGAGAAGGAAACAATAATATATCGCCTTCCGTACGAACATAGTGATCTGAATTTAGAGAAGTATACTCTGGTAATTTTTCTTCGTGGATCGGCATGTTCTTGAAAATTTTGAAGCAGAGCCCATTAGTAGCACCAGAAAAATAGCGGAACAGCTGAATCTATCTACATATGGAAGGTATGGTCAGTTCTTCATTCTAAAAAAATACACCCATTCCACGATACTCCCGTGCAAGGACTCGAAGAAGGAGATTCAGTTCGAAGAAGCACTTTCTGTCGATTGATCCTAAATGCCGACATAGACAATCCAACATTCTTACGTACGATTTTGTGGACTGATGAATCAAACTTTTCTCGTGAAGGGATTGATAACTTCATAACCTGTACTATTGGGCAGAAGAAAACCCCCATGTGAAGAAACAAATTTCCTTCCAACGGAAATTCAGTGTAAACGTTTGGGCAGGTATAATAGGCAGAGTTCTGGTCGGTCCATATTTTTTGCCTAACAATTTGAATGGTGACAACTATCTAGAATTTTTAATAGATAATTTACCCAATATTTTGGATGAAGTTCCTTCAGATGTAAGAGAACAAATCATTTATCAAAACGACGGATGTCCTGCCCATTACCGTATAACTGTCAGAGATTTTTTGAATAATCAATTTCTAGGAAGATGGATAGGGCGAAATGGACCGATATTATGGCCTCCTAGATCTCCAGACCTGACCCCCGTCGACTATCATGTCTGGGGACGAATGAAGGATCTGGTGTATGATGTGGAAATTCGGGATCCAGAACATCTTATCCGAAAAATCAATGAGGCAGCAGATCAAATGAAGGCGGAAATGAGGCTAGGCATAACTACGACAGACATGCGACGAAGATGTCGACTTTGTATTATAATGGTGGATCTCTCGAGCAAGAAATTTCATAAATAAATTTATAATTCTAATATTTTCTTCTGTTTAATATTGCAATTCTTTCCGCGAGAAATTATTTTGTTTTTTATTGAAATAAGTATACTACATTATCAAGTCTGCGCCTATTATTACATCATTCGAAAGAACCAACACCAAGAAAGTTTTCGAAGGTGTTCGAACGTATAATCCATCTGCATACTTTATATTATTCGCTCATAAATTGTTGGATATTACAATTTATCGTATTTTGGATCCGAATGAGCCATAATTTTTTTGCCATACGTAGATCCCATGTTCAATATCGATGAAATACGTATTCAACTTCAACCCCTATGTACCATTGAGATATTTCCCTTTACCTGTGAAAACCCCGTATATATTCCTCCAGAAACACCCATCCGACCATGCAGTAGGCGTGACTCGCCGCCATGCCCCTCGAAGGCGGGGGCGGGGCGCCCGGCGCAGATATCCCCACCATCTTCAATCCACGCGCAGGGGCGGGGCGAACGCGGGCACCCAGCGTCGTCGTCACCGACTCGCAGGACGGCGCAAGCGCGGGGGGCGTGGCCAACGGGCCGCTCGCCCACGCCGACTCGCTGTGCAGCCAACCGGACTCGGGGGCGGGGGAGCCGCTGTCGCCGGCCACGCCCACAGCGACCACGCCCACCGGGTTGGTGGGGAAGGTCAAGGAGTGGTCGACGTCGTTGTGCTCGAAGCCGGCGAGGAAGGTGAGTGCATGGTTGACAAGTAGTGTGAGTTTATATTAAAAAATGAATAGTCGGTTGAAAAACAAATGAAACACATTTTTATAGATGGCCAAACTAAAAACAAGTAGTAAGTGAGAAATACACCATAAATAAATTCACTTTGGAGGTTGAATCTAACAATCAGTTACCATTTCCAGATGTTTTTATTGAGAAATCAAATAACATCGTTGTAACAAGTGAATATCGTAAAAAGACCCATACTAACAGGCCTATTCAGTAAAAAGTCGTTATTTTACGAGTCGTTAGATAACAACTATCGTTATCCTAATAAGTAACGACAATTCGAACGACTTGATGAAAAAATGCATTCTGTAAGATATGTCGTCGAATCGTCGAAAATTAACAAGAAGTATATATTTTTTCTACAAACGTCATAAAATGACAAGGTTCGCGCATTGATAACAAATTGCGAAGTGACACTTTTTTTTAGTTTCCTACGTTACCATGATACCTTGCACAAAACAATGCGCGAAGTAAAACAGTGCGCGAAGTACCTACTTCGCGCATTGTTATATAAAATATAGGAGATATTTATATTTCAACTTTATGGTCCTCAATCGAGCAAATATCCACGAAATCATTTAATTCTGAATGTTCAACAATAACTTTCTTTCATCTCTTGGATCGCACGAAAGGAAATTCCTATTATGTTCGTGGATAAGGGGAGGCCTTTTAAGCCAGTTCAACACTATTTTTTATATCAAGCTGAGCATATTTTTAAAAAATGTTGTTTGCAACTCGAGCGCGAAATACTTTGGTCATCTCGTCTATTTTTTAACTCGGCTACGCTTCGTTCAAAAAATCAGATCTCGATCACCAAAGTAGCATTTCGCGCTCTAGATACAAAAATAACTATTCAGAATAGATAGTATGACATAATGTGACGTTATTTGATTTGAATTGACAAATCGTTATGTATATCATATAGATCAGAGATCTTCTACCGAGTCTTCTACTATAATAATTGGAGAAAATAATGTTTCTAAGGGAAGTAGGATTGCTTACATGCAGTCACCAGAGTGCTAAAATATCTCATAAAATATTCAAACAGTGATTCGTTATTATTTGAATATACGTGGAGGAACTGCAGGGAAATAAATACTTTCCATCAAATCAATATGATCCCACAAACCCCAATATCCTGGAAGGAACTTGAAGTGGTTTGGTTTTATAATTGAATAGTTCCAGAGGCCCAATGAGTGATAAAAGCAATAGAGAGAACAGTTCCTACACGTATTATTTTCATATGGGTTTTGAAAAAAAAAGTAGATAAGACATAATTTAGAGATAATTCAGTTCTCAATCTACCTATTTCATGATTTGTCTCTTTCTATAGATTTTTTGTAACAACAGATAGGTACATTAGTACGTAGGTACTTTCCGATTTTATTTCCCAGCGAGCACAAAAACATCTCAGAGATTTCGAGACATTGAACCTCCACTGCGATGTTCTGTTCACACATGAATAGAACTATTATAGAACAGCCAATGTCCGCCGCAGGCGGCAATTATCGAGATCTCCTTGATATGTCACAAAACTACCTTCTCCCTAGTTCTTTTTAAAGCCTTTTCATGGACACAACAGAACATTTTCAACGCGTCTTGCGCACATTAAATCGATGTAAAAAAAACATTTTCGAGGTACTTTTCTGAAGCCTTTTCTCAAAATGAACTTTTGCATTAGGATTCCATTTTCCTTGAATGAAAAAATGCATTAAAAATAGATTGAACATAAAAATATTTTCTTGATATGAAATTACCTTCTTAATCGGTTTCTGAGTAGTGCTCACTACACACAGACATATATAATTGGAAATAGGTTTCCCAATTTTTGAAATGTTCTCCACAATGCATGATTTTGCAACTTCGGAGAAGCTGTGTATTGATGAATTCGTACTTTTATGTATTGATTACACTGAGGCACCGAACAACACATCTTGCATCTGATGGTCATTATTACAAACTAAATTAGTCTTCTAACATAATAAACTTCACCAAATTCCTTTCTGTTCGTTAGCAGCGTGATGTAAGCGTGACACGCTGCAAACGCGAATGCCAATTGCGAACAAGAAGAACAAAATCGAAAACAAATCAGAATTCATCGTATTGTGACGTAAGCATGAGACGTTATTGTGGTGGGGCAAACAAAGAAAGGGCACAAAAGAACAAAAACAATACTTTCAATATCCTTCGAAGACCTCTTCGGGAAGTGCATATTACGCCTCAAAAAAACATCCTCATGCCTACATTTCTAAAACATCCCAAAACATCCCAGGGATACCTCTCAGTAGGCAAACAAAGAAATGCCACAGAAGAACAAAAACAATACTTCAATATCCAAGACCTCTTTGGTCAGTGCATATTACGTCTCAAAATAACATCTTCATGCCAACATTTTCAAAACATCCCAAAACATCCCAGGGATGTTTGTGCTCGCTGGGTTTCAACAACTGATGGTATATACTAGTATTCCTACTGGCCTCCTTGGGATGCTGCAACATGTCATGAGAGAATAACCCCCAAACTATAGCTCTCTGGGTAATCGACAACCCTCCCGAAAGTTTTCTTCATAGGACTTTCGAATGGTTCACTAGCGTCCCTCAAGCGTCTATTCAAATTTTTATTGGCTTGTCTGAATCTAAATAAACGGTGAATATCAACAAATATTCATATTCAACTCCAAACCCTTCTGAAAATTCAAAAAGACTGACTGGATCCAACTCCAACAGAAAACCGATGGATGAGAGATGAGAGGATATTATGCATTCATTGTTTTCATGTTATCCTACCGATACTCTGAATTTAACTGGAGCGCTTGCTCCTATTGAAGGTCGTTTGCAAGTTTCTCGATGACGCCTACTCTGATAAACCTTTGATAAACATACTTGACGTGGGTAAATCTCTCATCCTGGTTACAATCCATATTTACAGAAAACATATGATTTGGATACGTATATGATTTGGATCAGAGCAGTGAACTGATTCCTGATCAAAGGATCGAAACGTCAATGTGTCAAAAATATTCTTGAGCTGAAGAAATGGTTATTTCTGGAGATTGTGGTCAAGTGTTCGTTAGGGACGTGTTCCGTAGTTTCTAAATTTTGTGTATGATACCTAATCCACCATAGAAAAAACGGCATCTCTGTTCTACAACAGTATTATTTCAGTGATTTGAAATATTAGCATGAACTGGTGTGAATAAATTCCAAGGTGAGTACCAGTTACCATATCTGCCTATTATGATTTTCGATATTGGTCTATTTCAATAGTTGATACATTCTTTGTTCTGGTTCTTCAAAGAGGAAATTCATCTGTTAAATCTCTTTCGTCGAATAATAAAAAATTGTCTTGTCTTAATTATCTTTTTTTTCTATCAAACCTCAATGACATATCCAAACTATATACAAAGCGTTCAACTAAAATATAACGAAGTAACATTCTCCCCCCCGTGAGGGAGTTTAACTCGTCTCACTATCTTGATCTCCTCGGGGGTCTTCTACATCGATTCTACAAAGCTTAGCCACTGGCCTTTTGTAGATTCCAGTAGAAGTTTTCACATCTGCGATGCGCACTCTTCCATCAAGTCCTGGGTAAATCTCTTGTACTTTTCCTAATTTCCAGGATTTTCTTGGTGCATTGTCTTCAACTATGATGACAATATCATCAACTTTAAGTGGTTTTCCATCGTCAGTCCATTTCGTTCGTCTTGTCAATGTTGGGAGATACGCTTTGGTCGACCTTTTCCAAAAGCTTTCGACTACTCTTTGTGACTTCATCCATTCTCTTCTGTAGTCAACATTGTTCGGAAACTCCATCGTTCTATTGGAGGTTCCCAGTAGAAAATGATTTGGTGTCAGGGAATCAAAGTCGTTTGGATCCACAGATTTCTTTGTCAGGGGTCTCGAATTAATGATGTTCTCGCACTCTGCGAATATGGTTTGGAGGAGTTCATCTTTCAGGACCTGTCCATTCAGTATAACATTGAATGTTGTCTTCACTGAACGTACCATTCTCTCCCAGGCACCCCCCATATGAGGTGATGCTGGTGGTATAAACTTCCAATGGATACCATTTTCTGTGAGAGTGTCAGCAATTTTCTCATGATCCAGTCCCTCCAATGTTCTCTTTAACTCTTCAGCTGCACCTCGAAAATTAGTACCATTATCCGAAATGATTTCCTTTGGTTGGCCTCTTCTGGATGCCATCCTTTTCACCGCCATAATAGCCGAATCGGTAGTTAACGAGTGTGCAACTTCCAGATGAACAGCTCGTATTGTCAGACATGTGAAAATGACGCCCCATCTTTTCTCACGTCTTCTTCCAATGTTTACCAGCAATGGTCCGAAATAGTCGACCCCTGTATATGTGAAGGGTCTCACTGAAGGTTTCAACCTTTCTACAGGTAGTTGTCCCATTACTGGTATAATTGGTTTCGACTTGTTTAGCCTGCATTTCCGACATTTTGCGAAAATCGATTTCACCACGCTCCTTCCATCTATCACCCAGTATTGTCTTCGTATTTCATTAAGAACAGTCTCCACACCTTGATGGGCGAATCTCTCATGGCAATCTTGTATTAGTAGATCAACCAGTCTATGTTTTTTAGGAAGAATGATTGGCCGTTTCGTACATGGTTCCATGTCTGGTGCAAGGTCAGTTCTACCACTGAGAATCAATATTCCTCGATCATCAATTGTTGGAGAAAGTTTCTTCAGACGACTGTGGTTCTTCAACAACTTATTCTTCAGGAGGCACTGTATTTCTTCATGAAAACAGTTTTCTTGGCATTTCTTAATCCACAGCAGTTTAGAATTGTCTATTTCCGTTGGTGTCAAACATTTTTGAAATTTGTCATTCAATTTTCTTACTCTGGAGATCATAGTCTTGGTGAATCTGAGAACCCAGGCAGTCGTTCTCAGAAGTCGGGACAATTTCGAAAATCTGTTGATATCTGGTAGATATGAAGTCTCTTCTACAGCTATGTCAACGAATTCAATGTCTTCATTTTCATCAATTACCTTGTCTTGATATTTCTTCGGCCAAAGCTCTTCATCTCTATCATAAAGGAATGCGGGACCTTTGAACCATGTCTCGAAGTCGATTTTTTCGTCTGAATCATATGATCTGGTTGCGATATCTGCAGCATTCAATTTCGATGGAACCCAGTACCAATCGTTTACATTTGTGATCTCTTGAATTTCGCCGATGCGATGGGCTTCAAATTGTCCAAGTTTTCTAGCATCACCCTGTATCCAATAAAGAACCGTAGTCGAGTCAGTCCATGAATATAATCGGTCGATTCTTGTCTCCATGGTTTCTTTGATGGATTTGGCTAGTCGGCTTCCCATAACAGCGGCTTGAAGTTCTAGTCTAGGTATCGAGATTGGTTTCGTCGGAGCAACTCTAGCACGTGCCATAACGAGTGTTATATCCACTGCTTCGACGGTTAATGTCCTGAAGTAAGCCGCAGTAGCAAAGGCTTTTTTACTGGCGTCGCAGAACACGTGAAGCTCCAATTTTTCTGCTTCAGGAATTCCTGAAGAGTAGCATCGAGCAATGGAGAGATTCTCGATTTTTTCCAGATCTTTCTTCCATAAAATCCAAGTTCGGTTCAAGTCTTCGTCTATGTGATCGTCCCATCCAATACCAGATCGCCAAATATCCTGAATGAGGATTCGGGCTTTGATGGTGAAGTTCACAATGAGTCCAAGGGGGTCAAAAATGGACATAGCCGTCTTCAATACCTGTCTTTTTGTCGGTCTGTTGAGGTCATCGTCAGATCCTCTCAGTTTTTCTAATTTGAAGCAGAATGTGTCCAATTTTGAATTCCACGAGAGTCCCAAGATTTGCTGAGTTTTGCTATCACAGTCCAGAGATTCAAATCTTTGTATATATCTTCATTCTGAGAGAGTTTTTCCATGAGATGCTTGCTGTTAGAAATCCAGTTCACCAATTCGAAACCACCTAGTTTCTGGATTCGTTTCACCTCGAATATAATATCGAGAGCCTCTTCAATAGTGTCCGTACAGTCCAGGTAATCATCTACAAAATGCTTTTTTATTATTGCTTCAAGGATCTCTTTTCGGTCGGTTAGTTGATTTGCATTCAGATTTTTTATGAATTGAGCGCAGGTGGGTGAGCATGTAGCCCCAAACGTCATGACTTGCATCTCATAGATATCTAACTGTCTTTCTGGATCTCCATTCCGCCATAAAAATCTCTGGGAGCTTTGGTCGTCCTTTATGATGCGTACCTGGTGAAACATTTCACGGACGTCACTGCTGAATGCAATTTTCCGAAGACGAAATTTCATCAGCACTTCAATAAGGGATTGTAACAAGTCCGGGCCACTTAGTAGGTTATCGTTGAGGCTGACTCCGTGTGACTTGGATGCTGCGTCAAACACCATACGGAATTTGCCAGGTTTCTTCGGATTGACAACTCCGAAATGGGGCAAATACCAGTTTCTGGGACCTTCCATTGCTGCTTCTTCGGAAGACAACTTCCGGGCGTATCCCTTCTCCACATAACTGGTGATTTTTTCGCAGTACCGAGCCTTGAATTCGTAGTTACGCTGCATTTGTCTTTCAATACATCTGAGACGTTGAATTGCTGTCGATTTACTCTCTGGTAATTGTAAATTGTCTTCTTTCCACAGTAGTCCTATTTCGAATCATCATCAAGGCGTTTAGCTGTCTTTTCCATGATTTTCATCGCTCTGTTTTCATTTTTCGTGAGTAGATTAGGATAAGGAATTGTTCCAAAGGCGTCTGTTGCGAAAGATTGCTTCACCAACTCATGAAGATTTTCGTCTGATATCTCACTGTCACAAATGTGGAATGAATATAACTTGGACTCATTCACCATTGCCTTACCATGGAGAATCCATCCGAGCTTGGTCTTGGTAGCTATAGGAGATGTGAAGTCTTCATCATCCTGTACTACTTTCCTGGCGACTGTCAAGTGGATATTATCTTGTCCAAGTAATATCATAGGCTGTTCGTCGATTTCACTGAATGGGATTCCTCCAAGATATGGGTATCTTTCCCAGTCAGTCGTCCGAATGGTTTGAGTTGGTAGAGATAAGTTTTCAACACTCCTTACATTCCGTATGGAAAAGATTTTGGCATCCTTGTAAGCTCCAGATATTTCTAGGTTCACACAAATCGAATTCTCATGTCTAGAAGTCATATTATTCGTCCACTGCATGCATAAAGGTTGTGATTTCCCTTTTAGATGTAGCTTTTTGGTCAGGGCTTTGTCAATCAATGTAATACTCGAACCTTCATCACAAAGAGCAACAGTTTCGATCATTGTATTCTCCCCATAGAGTTTCACCTTCACCATCCGAAGAAGAACATTACCAGAGCCATGTCCGATGGCAAGGATATTTTCCTGATGTTTCTGGCTTGTACTGGGTGTCGAAAGGGAGTCGTCAGTATTTTGTTTTTCTGCAGGCTGAGGGTCTTTGTGGAGAATATGATGATGGTTTCGTCTGCAACCATTTATTCCACACTGTTGCTTGGATCGGCATCTGGTCGTTTGATGGTTGTTTCGAAGGCACAAAAAGCATAACTTGAGCTTTGTCACTACATCCCATCTTGTATCCACTTCGTCAGACTTCATTTTTGAACAATTTGTGATTAGATGTCCTCTAGATCTGCAGTATCTACAATATTCTACATTTTCTTCTTTGTCTGTTGAAACCAAGTTACTTTCATGTCTTTTTTGTAGTGGAAATGTCTGTTTAACTTTTGATTCAACCTTAGGATTTCTTGAAAAGTTCACGAGACTTGCCGCGGATGCTTTCTCATTCAACCACACCGAAAAATCTTGGAGATTCGCTCGTCTACTGCTGTGCATGATTTTCTCACCCCACTGTAGTTTCAAAGAATCGGGCAGTTTTTGAATCAGGTCACGCAAAAGTTGAGGATTTTGAAGGTGTTCATAATATTCAAGAGACTTGATTGTTGCCACAAGACAGTTAAGATTGTTTGAAAACTGAATCAGTGAGTCCATATTATGTTCTCTGACGAATGGTAACATTTTTGTCTTGGTGATTAATCCATCAATAATTTGGTCTGGACGTCCGAAGCGCATTTGAAGGGTCTCCAATATCAAATCAATATTCGCCGAGGTGGTCAACATGCCTGAGACTGCCAGTCTAGCCTCACCTCGGAGACACTTTTGAAGTTTGATGATTTTTTCTTCTGGCGAATATTCACATAATGTAGAAATTCGTTTAAATTGATTGATGAACGTGGGCCATTCCTCGGGGTTTCCATCAAAGTAACTGAAATCTTTTTCCACCACCTGCCTGGCTATGAATCTATCTTGTCTTGGCACGGAGGAAACTGATTTTATAGCTTCACTTATAGTTTCACAGAGCTGTCTGATTTCAGTGTTTTCACAATTATTTTGCATAATTTCTGTCCTCTTTATTTCTTGTTGACAACCGGAATTATTTTCAGGAATACTGTTTACCCATTGTATGGTATTCCTTTCACACTGGTCTTGAGGTAACCTGCTTTTCATTGATAAAGTTTCGTCTTGTTCCATTAATTCTGTTTCACGTACTTCGTTCTCAAGTTCCAGCAATTTGAGTTCATTTTCAAGTTTTTTCATTTCGATGGCCTGTCTCAACTTCTCGACCTCTAGGGCATGTCTTTTTCTGTGCACAGTAAAACTACTACTCACAGAGTTTTTTGTCTTTTTTGAACAAACAGATGTCTTATCCAAGTTATCATTGTCAGGTTTGGATTTCGGAGTTACATTCGCTTTGTCAGTCTGGCTAAGTGACTCCTCTTCCACTGGGTTTTCATCCTGATTGTTCATATTCATAATATTTACACCCTGGTTTGGCTGAAGTATCGTATCATTTATTCTTGTCACATTGACTTCTCTTCTTGACATATTTCCAAAATTTGGTGGCCATTCAAAATCGTTGTCAAGATTACCGTGAGTACCTGCTGTTCTCCGGGTACTGGTGAATTTCTTCAAATTCTCATCTCTGGGCTGCATTTTCCAAAGAACCAGTTATTTGAATCGAAGGACCAATGTTAAATCTCTTTCGTCGAATAATAAAAAATTGTCTTGTCTTAATTATCTTTTTTTTCTATCAAACCTCAATGACATATCCAAACTATATACAAAGCGTTCAACTAAAATATAACGAAGTAACATCATCAGATTTCATGCTTTAAATAGGTTCATGTCATGAAAGAAGTGAAGCTTATTAGAATCAAAGAAGTGAAGCTTATTAGAATCGGCTACAAAAAAGATTTCTTGATTCTATTTCAAATTGAAATTTGAATGAAAATGTTGGGCACAGTATTTATTCGACCACAGAACAATGATGGAAATAGATTCATCCCTCACAGAACTAAAGTTTTGAACGATTTTCCGATTATGGCGCCTCTATCGCAAATACCTGAACCCATCGCTTGAAGCGCACGAAAGGGAATCCCTATAATGTTCAAAGAACATCGTGCGTTCCTAGGGAGGATAGGGACAGGAGGTAGGTATTGGAGTTTTTTTTGAACTTTTGGAGGCGCAAGAAAAATTGTAATAAATCGACATCTTGATTATTGTAACCTATATATAATTATCAGTGTAAATATTTAATAACAAAATATTTCACTCTGCGTCAGTCAGGATCGGAAAAACTACTTATATGTCCAACCTAGTGGACGCCATGCATTTCATGACCTGATTATTCAACTTTTCATTTTGAATTAGATGAAAACAGCACCGAGAAATTGATAATATTCAAGTTATTTTGAAACAGAAACAAACTTTGGAACACAACTATGAATTATACTTGCGTTTCCTTCTTCAGATGATCAGAACACAATAGGGATATTTCATTCACATTACCCGTCATGGTTGAAGCTAATAATCCCATTTCATTGTGTTTAACCGTGACGTCATTTCCGTTTGGGTACACCTCCCCTACCTGCCCTTGGGTTTCCCAACTCCAACGTTGGTAAAGGTGGTTAATGTTGAAAGTGAAGATTTGTTTACATGTTTACAACGTGAAAGATATGGAGAAACTCAAATTACAAATCAATGGAGTGGATATTGAAGTGGAAGATACCATGGAAAATGTTCGAAAATTACGAAATGGTAGGGTAGAGAATAGAAAAGGAAGGATTTATTTAGGTAATTTCATGTTTCCAGACGACAAGCTCCTTAAACAGTATGTTATGGAATTATATGGTTCTGGTTATCTGAAAGATTTTTCTATACATGGAAGAATAACATCCATTTATATCTATAATGATGATGAAGAGATCCCTGAAGAAATGCAGGAAGCACAGAATGAGATCAGTTTAGATAGCATTGATATCGATTCTGATACAGACTTCAACGAAACTCTGCCAAGCCCAACATGTAAGGCCAGCTCAAAATAGACTGCAATTTTGAAATGTAACACATAATGTGTAGGTACTTATATCCCATTTTTCAGGGCAATTTGCAGAACCTTCAACATCTAATATAGTATCACCTGACCAGAACCAGAATGATTTGGATCCAAGAAGTTAGTATAATGTATTAAATATAGTGAAATACTGAGATATGATATTTTTGTAGATTCAGGAATGATTTGGACTACTAGGGGAAAACCAAGTAGCAAGGATATTGAAGCCACAGATTTTTTTTTGAGTTTACGTGGAAATGACCATTATATGAAATGTTTTAATGATAAAAAATCAAGTCATAATATTTTATGGCGTGACATAGCCAAAAGAATGAATGAGGCAGGCTATTGGGTAGGAGAAGGCAAAGTAGCAACTGATAAATTAAGGCATAAATTTAAAAATCTAACAAAAATGTACATGAATTTTATTGCCTATGTCAAAAGAACAACAGGAACACCCAAAAGAGATCCACCTCAATTCTATGATGAATTACATAAAATATTTGGTGAGAAAGATAAAACGAATCCCAAGCTTATTATCGATTCTGAGTTGAATACTTCTGAGAAAATTGTTTCTACAGAATCTCTTGCTAGTGAAAATTTGGTAGACAATCATGTCCCTGAGAATCCATTAGAAAGGAGTGATACTCCTTTTACAGCAAGTGATTGCGTAGAACAATCTGTTACAAAAGAAAATGTGAATGCCAATGAAAAAAATAAGCCAGCAAGAAAAAGGGCATATATGTCAGTGAATGAAGATATCAATATAAGATTGAAGAACATTGAGACAAACTCAGAAAAACACTTTGCTCAAATGTTCAAGTTAATGAATGACCAAAATAAAATTCTTAAAGAACAAAATGACCAAAGGAATAAATTAATCAATATTTTTGAAAAACTTGTTGATAAAGAAAATAAAACAAGAAAGCGAAAATATTCCTCATCTTCAGATTCTTAACTTTGGTAGCTTGTGAGATCTCTTTTGTTGTCATTTGTACCTGTTGACATTTTTTGTACCTGTTCTCATGTGAACTGAATTTTTTATTTATGTTTGTTACCTATATTTTTTGGTTTTTTTTGCATTTACGAGTGACATTTCTCATCCATTTTCCCCAACCAATGTACCTTTTTTGTTAAAGGACTATATTTGTACCTGTATATATTTTTTAAAGTTTTTCCTTGTTTTGTGAGAAGACTATCTCTAAGAATCATAGTTTATGTATTTCTTTTGGTACCTGTATTTTTTTATTTTTTTAAGTTTATTGTCTGTTTTTTCACATTATGAATAGATGATAGGTATTATTGTTCAAATTATTATACCTTTTCACTTTTTTTAAATACAACATTTATTTATAGTTATAATAAATAATATTTTACATTTCAACATATTATAAACGAAACATGATGGTTATTGCCTCAAAATGTGTGCTAGGGCATCTCTCTTTGCATTAGTCTGGACATCCAATTCTACAAAATAATGTATTCTTGGGCACTCAACTGTATTGACTTCCAACTCATTGCATAAATCATTTGCTCTGATACATAAATTATGTAGAATGCAACAAGCAGATATAATTTTCACAGCTCTTTCCACACTATTCACATCAATATATTTCAATATCCTGAATCTTCCCTTAAGTCTTCCAAATGCATGTTCGATAGTAACTCTCAGTTGACTGAGTTTCTTATTAAAATTTTTTTGGACATCTAAAAGATTACCACTGTCCTTATAAGGTGTAAGTAGGTAGGTTTTCAATGCATATGCAGAGTCTCCTAAAATATGATTTCCTTCATCAAAATAGTACTGGGGACCATAGGTATCAATATTCCGTCCAAAGCCTGACTCCTTGAAGATCTGAAATTAAATAATTTCAATCATGAGTAATATTTCCATGTTATAAAACAGACTTTACTTTTGTGTTTCAATAGAATGTTCAAGAAATATATGTAATTCATTATTGATAAATGCCCCATATCAATTGAAATATTCAATATTTACCCTTGCATCATGGATGGATCCAGGCCACCCAACAGAAATGTGAGTGAATATTTCATTATATTCACAAATGCCTTGGATTGTGATTGAATGATCAAATTTATGATCACAATAGGAATCCTGTTGTGTTCTTTGGATTTTACATTTGACATGGGTACCATCGATAGCACCTATCACACCAGGAAATCCATTTTTTCTCATAAACTTTGCCATCAATTGGAACCTCTCATCTTTGTTAGGCCAAAAAATATATTTCTTCTGTATTCTCAGAATGGCCTCCAACAAATTAGTGATAATTCTGTGTACGGTTGATTCAGCTACATCAAATCGATCTGCAATACTATATAAATCATCACCTTTACCTAGGTAGTGGAGAAAAATAAGCATAGTCTTTTCTAAGGGTACTGAAATTCTTCCACCATGATAATTTCTATTCTCTAAGAAAGGAACAATTTCTTGACACAGTCGTTGTACAGTTTTTCTCCTCATTCGAAACATGCGATAAAAATCTGATTGTAGGTAATAATCTATCCATGTTTCAAACAAATGAGGATTCCTGAAATGATGAAATCTGATACCTCTTATAGCAGTAATTGTGGCAATACTTTGATGATTCTCTTTAATCAGATGAAGCAATATGTCTTTTCCTCCTAACAAAACAGAGGCCAAATCATCCATCAACAACATGGTTGCACACAACTTGATTTTTTTCATAGACATGATCAATTAGATTCACACATAACAATAAAACAGATAAACAGCAAAATCTTGTTTCTTTCGGATTCAGAATGAAAGAGTGAGGTTATAACTAATGATAACTGGATAAAGGTATAGTTAAAAAGTGAAAGAAATAGGATTTCAAAAATGGTTAATGTTGACGTCATTATGACGTAGCTGCCTCCCACCACCTTCACTAGACTACTATACCCGGGTTTAACGGGTAATGTGAATGAAATATCCCTAATGTAGTATCTCCTTTGTCACAAATGTCACACACAGTCAAAAGTCGCTAAATTTTCTCGTTCCATGCCTCCCACACTCTCGATATCCGTGCAGCTATTCCGTGATGTCACTTTTCTTTTGTGTGTCAGATGAACAACACGGTCATCTTTATTTCGTTAAAATTATTACAGGCATTTTGTTTTAATGGTGATTTAAAATAAAATGGGTAAGAGTAAGCGAAACAGAAGTCATTCCGAAACTTCGGATAGCAGCGATAGCGACATTGAATTGCTCAGAAAACTGAAAAAACTAAAAAGGAAGCATAGAAGGAGGTCACGCTCCCCGTCTGTTGATGATAATGGCGGCGGAGGAAGGCGAGAAAAATCGCGAAGAAGAAGTTCTTCATATTCGACTAGTCCAAGTTTTATTGGATCCTCTGACAAAGAAAATTTACCTGAACCGGAAGAAGTTGACATGAATCGACATGTCGATATTAATATTGAAGGTAGGTTATTCCTTTCTTTCAGGGCATTTACATTTTTGTCGGATGCGGATTGACAGAACCGGCAAGAAAAATGATTCGGCAGTGGCTACGATTACAACGGCCAGTGAAAGACTGACTCGGTGGTGGGTTATGTCTAAATGTCTGGCTCGGTGGTGGGCCAGGACATGAAGATTTGAATTAGAAATTAATTTAAGCTTGGTGGTAGGCTATTCAAATCTGGCTCGGTGGTGGGCTAAGCCAAATAATAAGCTCGGTGGTGGGCTAAGGAAAAAATTCTATAAAAATTCAATAGTTCAGAATTTGGGTCAACATAACTATAATGATGGATTTCATTATTTCTTGCTGTTTTGTTAATTGGGATGCCAATATTTCCTCATTATGTGTACATCTTTTAATAAACATCAATAAGGTTGTTTGTTTTTGGCAGGCAACACAGAAAATGATCCTCTTGCTATGGAAGAGGTTGAAGTTCCAAATCTTAGTCCAGAGTTATTGAATTTACTGGGAAAGTCAAATTCCAATGTGAACAAAGAGGGTGACATCATTCAGAAAGATGTGGCAATGTTATGGGAAGAAATTCTAGTTAGTGGCTTGGAGGCAGACATTCGTTCCAAGTTAATTGAAAAATTTCCTCCTATTAAAAACTGTCCAAGAATGGGAGCCCCATTGGTCAACCCTGAAGTTAAGATAGCGGCAGGAGAGACAGCATTGAAAAGAGATGATAGGCTTCGAGCAAAGCAAAGCCAAGGGGGAGCTGCTTTATCAGCCCTTGGGAAGGCTCTCACTCTTCTTTTGGGCCAAGAGGAAGAAGAAGAAGGAGGGGGGAGCAGACGAATTATCATCGAGCTAGTGAGTGATGCTGGAAGGCTTTTGGCTGACATTCATAATCAGGAGTCAGAATCGCGGCGAAACTTACTCAACTTCAGCTTTGATAAAGACTTGCAAGAAGTAGTAGTTTGTTCAAAGCTAGATGGATGGTTGTATGGGGAAAATTTAGGAGAAAGAATTAAAGCAGCCAGGGCGATGGAGAGGTCAGCACAGGACCTAAAGTTGAAGAAACCTTCCTTTCCAAAACAACAGAAGGCTAGGCATTTAAACTCGAGAGGTCTGCCCAAACGACAAGCAGCAGGTCGGATGGGTGGACAAAAATACAGCAAATCTCGGAAACCTCCCCAACATTACCATCAGGATCCTCATCGACCATCAACCTCATACAAATACCAAGACCAACGAGCAGGATCTGTCAATGTGCAGCGAAGCAGACACAGATACCAGAAATAACCCAGGTGGGTTTCAAGGCTGGGAATTTGTGTTTGTACATGGAAAATTGGGAAAAATTAACAAAAGACCCTCTTATTAGATCATGGATAAAAGGTTACAGGTTAAAATTTTGTAAACAGGTATACCAAAAAGTTGTTCCTTTGGAACCACTACGATCTCATAAAGAACTAGATAATATCAGTAAAGAAATTCATCGCCTTTTGAAAATCGAGGCTATCAAAGAATGTAAGTCCTCTGAAGGTGAGTTCATATCAAAAATTTTCTTAGTGCCAAAGACTAATGGTAAATATCGACTAGTTTTCAATTTAAAAAAGTTGAATTCATTCATAAAGACTGAACATTTCAAAATGGAAAACAGAAATACAGTAGGTAAAGTGATATCAAAGGGTTGCTTTATGGCATCCATAGACTTATCTGAGGCATATTTCATGATCAATGTAGACGAGAAGTCAAGAAAATACCTTCGTTTTCAATTTTTGAACAACCTTTATGAATTCACATGTTTGCCTTTTGGTCTTTGTGTAGCGCCATTGGTTTTTACAAAAATAATGAAACCAGTGGTTGCCAGGTTGCGTTCAAGAGGTTTTTTATCGGTCATTTATCTAGATGATTTTTTGTTATTGGGTGATACCTATGAGGAATGCTTGGAGAATGTTAAGGAAACTATTTCTCTGTTAACTGGCTTAGGATTCATGATAAACGAAGAAAAAAGTAGATTCATCCCAGATAGATCCTGTAGGTTTTTAGGTTTTCAATTTAATTCACTAGCAATGTCAATATCATTACCAGAGGATAAAGTAGAAAAAATTGAAAAAATGTTGGAAAAATTTCGGTCCTTGACTCACTGTACTATAAGAAAGTTTGCTCAGTTTGTAGGAGTGTTGGTGTCGACCTGCCCTGCTTTCAAATATGGTTGGGTTTACACCAAGAAAATGGAACGTCAAAAATTTTTAGCCTTGGAAAAACTTCATAATTATGATAGAACTATGACAATTCCGAATAAACTGAGGGACGATATTGATTGGTGGTTAAAAAATATTAGGCACTCCTCTAACAGTTTGGAGAAAATGGTTTATAAATTAGTTGTATTTTCTGATTCATCCCTTACAGGCTGGGGAGCAGTCAGTGGGGAGAAAAGGGTTTTTGGGCATTGGTCTGAGGATGAAAAGTTAGAGCATATTAACTACTTGGAATTGATGGCGGCCTTCTTTGGCTTGAAATGCTTTGCAAAAGACATGAGAGACTGCAGTATTTTGCTCAGGATTGACAACACCACTGCCATTTCATACATTAATAGAATGGGCGGTATTCGTTATAAGAAACTGAGTAAGTTATCCAAGAAGATTTGGCAGTGGTGTGAAGCCAGAAATTTATGGGTTTTTGCATCATACATTGAATCGGCTCGCAACAAGGAGGCAGACCAAGAATCACGAAGAACTCCGGAAGTGGAATGGGAATTGAACCAAAATTGTTTCAAAACTTTGGTTCACCAATTTGGCCAACCCGAGGTGGAC